GTCGCCGAGGATGGCGGCTGCCACGACGGCTTCTGCGGTGGTGGGGCGGTGGCGAAGGGCACAGGCGGCTGCGGCCCATAGGATCTCGCGAGGAACGTGTAGATGCCCGTGACCGCCTGGGTGAGATCCCGGATGGCAGCCGTCATCTCCTTTGGGGTGAAGACGATGGGGACGGGCGCAGCGGAGGTGACCGGCACCGGCAAGAGCGGGGCGTTGGCCGTGGTGGCCATCGGGGCGGTCGTCGCGGTCGGCAGCCAGAGGGTCGGGGTGGGCGGCGGTGAGGACATGATCGCATTGAAGCTATCTGATACCGAATTTGTGGTACTGGATCCTACCAGGGTGTGGTCTCAGGTTGTAGGGGTGGAAGGACGGATGGCGTGGAGGAAGGCGTGGTCGCCGGCGCTGGGGCGTCGTCGTTGCGTGCGCGCGCGAGAGAGAGCAGGGGCGATGGCTAGGGTTAGGTCTCTCGGCTCCCTAAGGAAGCCGAGCAAATATGATTGCTTCTTGCTTAGGGCCTCTTTGATTCACAGGATTGCAAAAACACTGGAATAGAAAGAATACAGGAAATCTATAGGGTTGCAGTTGTAAAACAGAGGATTGAAAAACAGTGAAAGTATAGGAATATGAAACAAATGGAACGTTTGAAATGCAGGAACTGAAATCAAAGGAATGCATTATTTAGTAGAGAAACCATGCGCTGGTATGCAACTTTGTCCCTCTTGCCTCGGTCTTTGTGTAAAAAAGAGGTCTGACTCAATGTTTCACTTCATGCGAAATCACAGGAAACCAACAGTGTTTCTCTGGATTGCAACAGTATTCCTCCATACTTGTTCCTGCAAATCAAACATCGCTACAGTAGCAAATCCTATGGAATGAGAATTCCTGCGTTTTTCCTATGAAAAATCCTTCAAATCAAAGGAAGCCTTAATTCCAAAACGGGTCCTTACACGAGGATACTAATAAGATAATTGGGCTAAGCCCCTAATAACGATAAGATAAACTGGGCCACAACTAACTGGGCTAAGCCCCTAATATGCCGGTCATAACACAGGTCATTAGTGCGGTAGGCCTGGATGATCTGGAAGCAGAGGAACGCCTGCGTCTTCGACGGCGCTCAGCCCTTCATTACCGAACTCACGGCTAGAATTAGAGAGGAAGCGACCCTTTGGGTCAGAGCAGGAGCCACAGGCCTAGGCGTAGTCTTACTGACCACCTGGGACGTCCACTGATCCTTTTTTGTTTTGAATTTGTAACCCTCCCTCTCGGAGGCTTGTACTGATGACCCCTCTCTTTTTTCAATGCAATGAAATGCAAAGTCTTTGCGTTTTCTCGAAAAAAAAGAGGCCTGCGGTGTCTAGATCCTTGGCAACTTGGTCAATGTACGCCTGGAGTTGTGAGATGTGGCTTCATTTGAGCACAACTTGAGCAAGCCATTGAGATGCAGAGCTTGGAGGCGAAAGTAATGCGGTCCAAACCGGCAAGGATGCTTTGGTGATAGGAAGGGTTTATCCTTTTAGGGAGGCCTTGGCGTTAGTTTCTCTCCTTGTCTGACACCAGTGACAAGGATTGCTCATGGAGGCATGAACTCGGCATTGACGACCACTTCATCTTTCTGCGTCCAGTGGCTGCCAAGAGCTTGGTAGTGCTCATGGAGAATCGGTCTCTGGCGCTGCTATGGATACAGACCCAGGTGGATTTGCTCAACCACAGGTCTGCCACCTCCAACAGTTTTCTACAGAAGCTGTACGGAAAACTGATCAAGAACGCTGGTGATTTCACCTTCAATCAACCTTGACCTGGGTGCACCTTTCCTTGATCTGTGCCATCTAACCAAATCTAGTGCAAGTTCCAATGTTCCATACACAATATAGTACAGCTAGTGTTGATGAGATTTGGCGATCAACTATTTGTACTGTCAAGGGTGGTTTTTCTCAATTGTAAGATATATTAGCCTTGAGTGGCAAAGGTGGCACCTAGATATTGATTTAGTATAATCAGCATGATAAGCTCAAGTACTCCTGCTTAGTATTGTGTACTCAACACTCGACACTAACGCTTCCATAGCTTTGATTTTCTGATATGATATTACCATTTAAATTTGTAGGTGCTATCTGTTGCAGTGTACAACCACTATAAACGTATATACCATCAGTCTCTACAGAAAGGGTCAGTTCCATTGTACCACCTCATTTCTTTTTGTTTTGTTTATGAAATGAGTAAGAATATTTATTACTGCACCCACAGAAATTAGAACTCATGCATATCATTCAGCGACTAATTATGTGATGTATAAGCTAAAACCATTAGGTCTGGAGCAGATTTGGGTTGTTCTGATGGAGAAGCTGATGGTGAAGACAATGTTGAACTAGAGAAAAGCAATATACTGTTAATGGGCCCTACTGGTTCAGGTAGCATCTGCAACTATCCTCAGTTGTTGTGATTGGAATAAACTGAATTCTGGTTTCTTCTATGTTGGACGGACTATAATAAAGAGAGAGCGCTCATCAGTAGTATTTTGTTTGGATGCTTCATATTTTTCGCAGGTAAAACTTTGCTTGCAAAGACATTAGCTCGGTTTGTGAATGTGCCATTTGTAATTGCTGATGCAACAACATTGACCCAGGCAAGTGGTTCACTATTCACTAATGTTTACATTCTGGAGGATATTTTAAGTGCATAATAATGTATAGTACTGAAACTGCACCTCATATAGTCGGTTTTAGTTCTACTAAGCCTAAAACCTATTGATTCCAAAGTTTGTCTCCATAGCTCTAACTTTCTATTAACCCCTGTCTGACCATCATCGACTAGCACCACATCATCCTCAAAGAGCATACACCATGGGATATCTCCTTGTATATCTTTGTTGACCTCATCCACCACCAAGGCAAAAACATAAGGTCTCAAAGTTGACCATTGGTGCAGTCCTATCTTAATCGAAAACTCATCGGTGTTGCCATCACTTGTTTGAACACTTTTCACAACATTATCATACATGTCCTTGATGAGGGTATGTACTTTGTTGGGATTTGTGTTTCTACAGGGCCCACAACATGACATTTCGCAGTATCTTATCGTAGGCCTTCTCCAAGTCAACGAACACTATACACAGGTCCTTCTTTTGCTCCCTATATCTCTCCCTAAGTTGTCTTACCAAGGAAATGGTTTCCATGGTCAACCTCCCGGCATGAAACCAAACTGATTTTTGGTACGCTTGGCATTCCTCTTAAGCGGTGCTCAATGACTCTTCTCCCATATCTTCATTATGGCTCATCAGCTTAATTTCATGGTGATTAGTATAACTTTGAACATCCTCCTTGTTCTTGAAGATCAGTACTAATATACTCCACCTTCATTCTTCTAGCATCTTGTTTGCCTGAAAAATGAGGTTGAAAAGATTAGTTAGCCATACTATCGCTATGTCTCCAAGGCCTCTCCACATCTCAATGGGGATACAATCAGGGCCCATCGCCTTGCCTCCTCTCATCCTTTTTAAAGCCTCCCTGACCTCAAACTCTTGGATTCACTTCTGAATTCGTCGCACAAAACGCCTGCTGGTATCATCAAAGGAGTCGTCCAGCTCAATGGTAGAGCTCTCATTCTCTCAATTGAACATCTTGTCGAAGTACTCCCGCCATCTATGCTTGATCTCCTCGTCCTTCACCATGAGCCAACCTGCTCCGTCCTTGATGCATTTCACTTGGTTGACATCCCTCATCTTCCTCTCTCGGATCTTGGCCATCTTATAGATGTCCTTTTCGCCTTCCTTTGTGTCTAAGTGCTGGTAGAGGTCCTGATGGGGAACAACAGAGGAGGAAAAAAATCATATGTCAAATCTGTTTGGCTACTTCTAGATATTTCTACTCTAGTCTAGTTTTTTTTTTCTTTTCTTAACCCTAGCTACTGTTTTCTAGTCTTCTAGCTATGAGGAGAATGGTGAATCTTGTAATGTTTTCTAGAGTGTTCTAGCTATAAGTAGAAGTGAGATGTCAGGGCTTCCCAAAGCCCTATAAACAGAGGTCCTCACCTCTAGTTTGTAACCAGACTATGTACCCCACTACCTATAACAGAACTGGGTGTTCTTATCTAGATCTTGGACTAGATCTTGTGCTCTAGGAGTTTCGGATTGAACTCCTGCTGCCATATTGTCCTATATTCTCCTCTAGAGCAATATGTAGCGCAACACGTTGAAGTAGTTCGTTCAACACTAGTGCTGTTCACTTTGTAGCAGCAAGTGGAGTTGCTCCTCACAACCTTGTGCTGCTTCAGGTTCTCATACGCCCGATCCCTTGCTTCACTCACTGCTCGCTTTGCAGCCTTCTTTGCCGCCTTGTACTTCTCTGTTGTCTGCACTCCTATCCAGGTGTAGGCATCTGAAACAGTCTTTCTTCTCCTTAATAGCCTTCCACCGCCAGGTACCTTTAGCTTCGCTTCTACTTCCTCTGGTCACCCCAAACTCCTTTGAAGCCACCTTACGAATGCAAGTCGCCATCTACATCACCTCCTTCCTCCCAAGGGCCCTCCTTAATAACCCTCTCAAAAGCCTGAGCCGCCTCCCCCTTGAGCTTCCACCACTTAGTTCTAGCGGCTTGGGGCGCTTATCCTGCTACACGAATCCAAAAGCGGAAGTCAGCCACCTAAAGCTTATGTGAGGGACAACACTCTCTTCAGGTATCACCTTAAAATCTAGTAAAGCATGCATGCCTTCTCTTCTCGAGAGGACGAAATCAATCTGGCTAGAGTGTTCACCACCACTAAAAGTCACTAGATGGGATTATCTCTTTTTTAAGAGGGTGTTAGCTACAATCATGTCGTAGGCTAGAGCGAAGCTTAAGACATCTTCTTCTTGATTCCTGATGCCATAGCCAAAGCCCCCCTACACCCCTTCAAAACCTGTGTTAGATGTACCCATGTGGCCATTTAGGGCTCCTCCTATGAAGGGCTTCTCACTAATAGGTACACTCCTAACCATGACGTCTACTACTCTCTTGTTGATCAAGATGCCTACTTCATTTCTTTGTGAGCGATTCAACTAATAAAAAATGATTAACTGCCGTCACCTGATTCCTTTAGGCATATTTTTAAGTGAATCTCTCTCTCTCTCTCTCTCTCTCTCTCTCTCTCTCTCCTTTGTTCAGACACTAAGGCTTTATTTTTCAACTTCCTGCAGGCAGGGTATGTAGGAGAAGATGTAGAATCTATATTGTACAAGTTACTTACGGTATGGTTTTTGATTGCACATATATTTAAACAAATAGGAGCTACTAGTTGACTTCTCACTATGAGTCCTTGAAAGTGAACTCTGGGTCTTATATTTGAACATTAACTAGGTGGCAGATTTTAATGTGCAAGCAGCACAACAAGGGATGGTGTACATTGATGAAGTTGATAAGATCACTAAGAAGGTCTGTCCAAATTAACTTCTGTTGAACATTTTTCCTTGGTATGGGAATCGTTAATCAGTTGGGTGCATTCAACATGCAGGCTGAGAGCCTTAACATCAGTAGAGATGTATCAGGCGAAGGTGTTCAGCAGGCTTTGTTGAAAATGCTCGAAGGCACGGTGAGTCATCTTCATTGACCTTCCGATGAAGCAGCATGTTTATAAATTGTAAGTTCGAACGTTTGCAAGCAGATATTGGCTGCCACTAGGATTAAAATGTATATCATTCGTAGATTAATACTCCCTCCGTTCCTAAATATAAGTCTTTTTAGAGATTCCAATGCGGACTACATATGGAGCAAAATGAGTGAATCTACACTCTAAAATATGTCTATATACATCCGCAGTCCTTACTGAAATCTCTAAAAAGACTGAAATTTGTAGTGGTGGCTGAATGCTATACCTAGTTCTATTCATGCATTTTCTTTCTTTTGTGCTGTGTATTGTGAGCTTGCATTTTGGAGCTTTTATAGTGATGTCATTATTGGATTTGCAAATGTATTGGTTTGAGGCATCATAGTTTTGTTTTACATTAATCCTACTATGCACTAAAAAGTAACTCATTTGCTTCATTGATATCGTGCGATCTTTCTGGGGTACTATGATTCTTGGTAAAAGATAAGATCATTTCTTGATAATTGTCTCTACATATGGATGCCTTTTAATATATTTTTCTAATGTGGTCATGTTTAGATAGTCAATGTCCCTGAGAAAGGAGCAAGGAAGCATCCTCGTGGCGATAATATACAGGTACCGTCAGCACAATTTGTATATGACATTCTTCCCAAAGAAAGTGTGCATGGTATACATTTTGCCTGAAGAACTACAGTATCACACCGCCAGTACCTGTGTCCTGAATGGTAGCAAAAATAGAGAAAAATATGGAATTATGTGACCTTATCATCATACTAGTCCTTCGTAGAAAAGAGAACTTATTTGTTATGAATGCATACCGTGCTGCTTTATACATGTATCGTATTGTTTCTTTACACCCAGTGGCGGTGCCAGGAGGCAGGAGCTAGGACATGTGGTGTTAGTAACTTCTAGAGATTAATGCTATTTGTAATACTATGTTTATTTGGATTTTTGTTTGGGGCGTAACCCTCTCAGCGACGCTCCACATCATAACCCGGGTGTGGTGGAAAATGGGCAAGGGCCGGGCCGTCACCTCCCTGGCGGCGCGCCGTATCTTGATCCGGATACGGTGGCAAGTGAGCGAGGATCGGGTCGTCGCATCCTTAGTGGCGCGCTACATTGGCGCCCAGATGTAGTGGAAAATGAGCAAGGGTCTTCGCATTTGACTCGATGAGTGCGAAGGGTAAGGAAGCTAACCGAGCCTAGGAGGATTCGCTTAGGTAGTTGGAACGTAGGATCTCTGACAGGGAAGCTTCGAGAGCTAGTTGATGCAGCGGTGAGGAGAGGTGTTGATATCCTTTGCGTCCAAGAAACCAAATGGAGGGGACAGAAGGCGAAGGAGGTGGAGGATACCGGCTTCAAGCTGGAAACAGAAATGGCGTAGGCATCTTGATCAACAAGAGCCTCAAGTATGGAGTGGTAGACATCAAGAGACGGATTATCCTGGTCAGGCTGGTAGTTGGGGACTTAGTTCTCAATGTTATCAACGCGTATGCCCCGCAAGTAGGCCACAATGAGAACACCAAGAGGGAGTTCTGGGAAGGCCTGGAAGACATGGTTAGGAGTGTACCGATTGGCGAGAAGCTCTTCATAGGAGGAGACCTCAATGGCCACGTGGGTACATCTAACACAGGTTTTGAATGGGCGCATGGGGGCTTTGGTTATGGCATCAGGAATCAAGAAGGCGAAGATGTCTTAAGCTTTCCTCTAGCCTACGACATGATTGTAGCTAACACCCTCTTTAGAAAGAGAGAATCACATCTGGTGACTTTTAGTAGTGGCCAACACTCTAGCCAGATTGATTTCATCCTCTCGAGAAGAGAAGATAGGCATGCGTGCCTAGACTGTAAGGTGATACCTGGAGAGTGTTGTACCTCAGCATAAGCTGGTGGTTGCTGACTTCCGCTTTCGGATTCGTGTCCAGCGGCATAAACGTGCCAAAGTCGCTAGAACAAAGTGGTGGAAGCTCAAGGGGTAGGTAGCTCAGGCGTTCAAGGAGAGGGTCATTAAGGGGGCCTTGGGAGGAAGGAGGGGACGCGGACAATGTGTGGATGAAGATGGCGACTGGCATTCGCAGGGTGGCCTCGGAGGAGTTTGGAGTGTCCAAGGGAAGGAGAAGCAGAGATAAGGATACCTGGTGATGGAATGATGTTGTCCAGAAGGCGATTAAAGAGAAGAAAGATTGCTTCAGACGCCTACACCTGGATAGGAGTGCGGACAACATAGAGAAGTACAAGATGGCGAAGAAGGCCGCAAAGCGAGCTGTCAGTGAAGCGAGCGGTCAGGCATATGAGGACCTCTACCAACGGTTAGGCACGAAGGAAGGCGAAAGGGACATCTATAAGATGGCCAAGATCCGAGAGAGGAAGACGAGGGATATTGGCCAAGTCAAATAAATCAAGGACGGAGCAGACCAACTCTTGGTGAAGGACGAGGAGATTAAGCATAGACGGCGGGAGAACTTCGACAAGCTGTTCAATGGAGAGAATGAGAGTTCTACCATTGAACTGGACGACTCCTTTAATGAGACCAGCATGCGTTTTGTGCGGTGAATCCAGGAGTCTGAGGTCAAGGAGGCTTTAAAAAGGATGAAAGGAGGCAAGGCGATGGGCCCTGATTGCATCCCCATTGAGGTGTGGAAAGGCCTCGGGGACATAGCAATAGTATGGCTAACCAAGCTTTTCAACCTCATTTTTCAGGCAAACAAGATGCCAGAAGAATGGAGACGGAGTATATTAGTACCAATCTTCAAGAACAAGGGGGATGTTCAGAGTTGTACTAATTACCGGGGAATTAAGCTGATGAGCCATACAATGAAGCTATGGGAGAGAGTCATTGAGCTCTTATGGAGAGATACAGGGAGCAAAAGGACTTGCATATGGTGTTCATTGACTTGGAGAAGGCCTATGATAAGATACCGCGGAATGTCATGTAGTGGGCCTTGGAGAAACACAAAGTCCCAGCAAAGTACATTACCCTCATCAAGGACATGTATGATAATGTTGTGACAAGTGTTCGAACAAGTGATGTCGACACTGATGACTTCCCGATTAAGATAGGACTGCACCAGGGGTCAGCTTCAAGCCCTTATCTTTTTGCCTTGGTGATGGATGAGGTCACAAGGGATATGCAAGGAGATATCCCATGGTGTATGCTCTTTGCGGATGATGTGGTGCTAGTTGACGATAGTCGGACGGGGGTAGATAGGAAGTTAGAGTTATGGAGACAAACCTTGGAATCGAAAGGGTATAGGCTTAGTAGGACTAAAACCGAGTACATGATGTGCGGTTTTAGTACTAGGTGTGAGGAGGAGGAGGTTAGCCTTGGTAAGCAGGTGGTACCTTAGAAGGACACCTTTCGATATTTGGGGTCAATGCTGCAGGAGGATGGGGGTATTGATGAAGATGTGAACCATCAAATCAAAGTCGGATGGATGAAGTGGCGCCAAGCTTCTGGCATTCTCTGTGACAAGAGAGTGCCACAAAAGCTAAAAGGCAAGTTCTATAGGACGGCTGTTCGACCCGCAATGTTGTATGGCGTTGAGTGTTGGCCGACTAAAAGGCGACATGTTCAAACAATTAGGTGTGGCGGAGATGCGTATGTTGAGATGGATGTGTGGCCACACGAGAAAGGATAGAGTCCGGAATGATGATATACAAGATAGAGTTGGGGTAGCACCAATTTAAGAGAAGCTTGTCCAACATCGTCTGAGATGGTTTGGGCATATTCAGCGCAGGCCTCCAGAAGCTCCAGTGCATAGTGGACGTCTAAAGCGTGCGGAGATGTCAAGAGAGGTCGGGGTAGACCGAATTTGACATGGGAGGAGTCCGTTAAGAGGGACCTGAAGGATTGGAGTATCACCAGAGAACTAGCTATGGACAGGGGTGCGTGGAAGCTTGCTATCCATGTGCCATAGCCATGAGTTGGTCGCGAGATCTTATGTGATTCACCTCTAGCCTACCCCAACTTGTTTGGGACTAAAGGCTTTGTTGTTGTTTGTTTGTTTGTTGTAATACTATGTTTGTACGAAATCTGTGTGGTTGGAACCCCACAGCTTGCTCCAAGTGCCACCACTTTTTGCACCACAAATGTCATATTAACTTCATTTTTCTAATTGCCTTCTAGTACCATCTAAACCATGATCCACTTTTCAAGGCCTTCCTTGTTTAAGGTAATGTAATCATGGCTGAGCTTTAATTCTCTATTCTGCATGCCATACAGATAGATACGAAGGATATTCTGTTTATATGTGGGGGTGCTTTTATTGACTTGGAGAAAACTATATCAGAGAGGTACCATTGTTTTTACCTGTTTCAAAGTTGCTATCTCTGGTGTTTCCTGTCAGTCTTCATCTAAGGGGCATCCCACCCCCTTTTTGTGTAAATAGGCGGCAGGATTCTTCTATTGGATTTGGGGCACCTGTCCGTGCAAGCATGAGGACTAGTGGTATTTCAAGTGCTCAAGTGACATCGTCCTTGTTAGAATCAGTGAGTACCAGAGTCCAGGAGCCAGCTATTTTTGGAAGCTTTGTTTCAGGGAGAATGTGAATGCATTTGCTCTGTAAAAGCTAAAGTGTTTTTTATTTGGTTTTGTTTTCAGGTTGAGAGCAGTGATCTTATAGCATATGGACTCATTCCGGAGTTCATTGGACGTTTTCCTATCCTTGTCAGCTTGGCAGCACTAAATGAGGACCAACTTGTTCAGGTAGATCTGTAGGAGGAAAAATATCCTATTAGGTGGAAAACATATTTCTATATGATTGTTATTGAACTTATAATTGATGGCTAATACAATAAATGTACTGCTAGGTTCTCACCGAGCCAAAGAATGCTCTAGGTAAACAATTCAAGAAGTTGTTCAGCATGAATAATGTGAGTATATTTTCATTGGAAACATGCAAGTGTTATCTGGCGCTTCTCACACTGTTGGCTTTCAGGTTAAGCTTCACTTCACGGATGCTGCACTAAGAATAATTGCCCAGAAGGCAATGTGCAAAAATACAGGTGCACGGGGCTTAAGGACTATCCTTGAGAATATTCTCATGGATTCCATGTATGAGGTTCGTCCGATAGCAACTTTGTATTCCTTTTCCTTGAACTTACACACAAACTCAATGGAGCTGGCATTCATACCATATATTCATGAATTTGTGACTGCCTTGCAGATTCCAGATACAAAATCTGGAGAGAAGCGAATTGACGCAGTGGTTGTAGATGAAGGTGCAGTAGGATTGGTGGACCGACCTGGCTGTGGAGCTAAGATCCTTTACGGCGATGGTGCATTTGATCGTTATCTATCCCAGATAAAGGTGGGAATTGCCAACCTCAATCAGCTTGCCTTGTGATATTGGTAATATCAATCATTTGCTGCGAGTAATATTTCATGGACTAAAAATGCTGCAGGCAATGGGAGACGGAGCAGGAAGCGAAGTGGATGGGGATCCTGACCTTTCTTCGTCAAGAGCCATGAGCATGTGATTTCATGGTTCCTCTAGCTCTACTGTACACTGTAAAAATCTGATCCTAGCTGTATTAATGTAAAGAAAAAAAAACACATGTGCAGTACCCATTGCTAATTCAAACTCCAGCTGTCTGGCCGTCCTCACGCCTTGCATAATCTGTAGCAGGACTGGGAAGTGTATAGTGGAGCAAGTTGGGTGTCGACGTGTGTGTGAAGGTGAGAGACTTTTTATGTGAAGAACTGTAATGCTTGCCAGATGTTGTAAAACTTCAAACACTGAGATGAAGGGGTTGAAATTTAGCATGGAGATACGAAATTATGTTATCAGCTCCTTGCCCGAATTGTGCTGTGTGGTGTACCAGCCTTGCTTGGTAGAAAGACGAAAGAGATCCGAATGCTTTAGGGACTTGGGAGTTTCTGCTGCAGTGCTCAATGCACTCTCGTGGTCTAGAAAAATACTACCTCTGTCCCATAATATAAGACGTTCTTTGCAGTTTGAAACTGCAAAAATGTCTTATATTTTGGGAAACATTGTTGTATGTCTGTACGTTTTCTGTGAATAAAAAGAATTTCTAAGGGCGTGTTTGGTTTCTCGTTTCCTGTCAAATACACCCTTCGTTCCAAAATATAAGGTCTATTGATTTTTGTGCAAGTTAACCATTTGAGAGTTTGACCAAAATTATAGAACAAAATAGAAACATCTGCAATACCTAATAGATAAAATATGAAACTAGCTTTCAAGATCGATCAAATGATATAAATTTCATATTGTGAATATTGATATATTTTTCTAAAAACTTAGTAAAAAATGCACTTGTTTGATTTTTGAAAAAACAAATACATATTATATGAAGGAATAGAGAGAGCACTGGTGTATCTTTACCTAATAATAAATCGGCTATTGCTTCTGTCCGCTTCATCCAAATTGTTCAGTTTTAATAATATCATCAGTTTCAGAAATATCATCATCTTCAGCATACTCAATAGTTCTAGTTCTAATAAGTTGTTCATTAAAAAATTCACCCAGTGACACAGTATTTTCAAGCAAAGTAGTAGCATCATAAGCATCATTCATAGCAGAAGTAGCATCATCAATAACATGCGATGTGTTGGAGTCAATAGCAGGTATAGGTGTCGCAAGCTTACTCAAAACAGAAGGTGAATCAAGTGCAGAGATAGATGACAGTTCCTTACATCTCCTCATAGTGGATGGAAAAATCTTGGTTCTAATATCTTTCAGATTCCTCATAGTGATCAACAAATATAAATCCTAAGTGACTCAGAGAATAGAGCTATGCTCCTCAGCAACGGCGTCAGAAAAAAGTCTTGATAACCCACAAGTCTTGATAACCCAAATTTATTGATTCGACACAAGGGGAGCCAAAGAATATTTTCAAGCACTACCGCAGGATACTGCAAACGCGACACTACGATCAGAGACCCTTCGAGAAACTATGTGCGATGCAATAATCGCAACCGGTGCTGTATGAATACCGTCAGAAATGTATAAAACGTTTGCGATGATGGATGCATCAAACACGGTTCAGTTTTTAGTTGCGTGTGCGATGAAAGGCATATGGTTTAGTTCAATTAATTGTTTGCGATGAGGAGGAACGAAAAAAACGGGCAGCCAGATGAAGGCGTGTGCGATTCACAGCATACGGTTCACTCGGATGAACTGTTTGTGATTAGTCAACACAAAAGAAACGGTCAACCAGATCAAGGTGTGTGCGATATACAGCATGCGGTTCACTCGAATGAACTGTTTGCGTTGAGACATGAGAATAGAAACAGTTCAACTTAACAAGATGTGTGTGATACGCGGCAAACAGGTCTGTAATCAGAAATGTGTGTGAAGATCGATAATAACACAGAGAGTTGCTGCTAATAAGACGTGTGTTTTGTGCGATGG